ATGCCACTGCCAGTGCATGTGATGGTGATAGTACTGTGTAGTATTTGCCTGCGTTAATTGGTTACAGGTAGCGTCCATCTTTAATCTGAAGACACTTAAACGTACGCGCCATCTCGTGGCAACTTTCATAACGATCCCAACAAACATTCCTTTGAGAAGGTTCCTGATACCATTCCTGTGCATTCCACTGTTTCGGCATGTATGTGAACACATTTGGGACTAACAGGGTTTACTAGAATCCCACCACTCCACCACAGAGTCACCGCAGTAGACGTTAGATGAGCGCTGTCACTCCGCGGCACTTGTTTATATTATGGATTAAACTAAATTTGATAAGTTCTGGAAAAATACTTTAATCTTTCGTTTTTGTAACGTTTTACCTATTTGTATCACCCCATCACCTTGCCAATAGAATGACTGCATAGGATAGTAACTCTACAAACTGTTTGGTACTAATATTTAGTAGAAAGAAAACATTGGTTTTATGCTTGCAAAATGGTGTAAGTTGTACATTATTTTTTCAGGCCGTTTCTGCAAAGGACATGCCTCACAACAACTTTTTCTTCTTCGATGGTGTTGATGGAAAGGGCCTTGTAGACTGTATTGGCACTTATGAGTGATTTATTCACGACAATATATAAATTTAATGTTGAATACACGTACACCTGGTTATTCCACTGATCTTTTTCCCAAATCCGAGTCATAATTATTCTTATCCACAGGAGGGTAGCTAACCCCTCTGCCTGGAGAGGCAAAGCCACGTGCGGGTTGTGTTGTGATAAGAAGGTGGGCGCCATTGACGTTGTAATGTATCTACATTCCTGTGGGGAGAAGTGGCAACTGCCCCTTTCCCCCTGCTAGCTACAATCCTAATGTAGTATGTCTAGAGAATATGATTTTTTCCATCAATACCCTCAAAATTTACTACCCCTACCAAATTTGTTTATGATTAGACAAAAGTGAACATAAATTTACTTTGTGGATGAGCATGTTTGCTTTCAACAAATAATATAAAAACTACCCAATGTTGACAAATCTTGTCATGGTAGGTACAATATATGAAAATTATATCTACATCATGGTCTTTTTCTGTGTAATGGTGCCACCAGCTAGACAAGATAGCAGGCCTTGCCTTTTTGAAAACAGCACACAAGCTAGGAATCTCTTCGGAAATCGAATGAAGAGAGTTAGTCTGGCATAATGCGCAGAGTGCATGCATTCAAAATGCAGAAATTTCCTGATATCTATTTGTACGCAGTACGTTGAGAAGGGCCTTTCTTGATAATACTAGTGAATCACCGAACGATGCATAAAAACTTACTCGGCTAATATCATGCATTGTTTGAAAGTAAACGGCCAAAGCATACTGAAATGTTTGGAATGCACTCATTCATAAATGCAATACTAGTATACCAAATAAATCAATGAATATGGTGCCAAGTTTGAAGGAACATGGTCTTAGCTTGTTTAAAATATGGCTGTGCAGATGGTCAGAATTGTCATGAACAAGTACATGACAGTTGTGAGAAATGCTACACCACATTTCCATCAAAGCCCAAGAAAAGAACAGAATGTAGTTTAATCATAAAGTTCAAAATACAGGAACAGCAACTCATGTATTCATATGCAATACATGTATTCATATATATTGATTCAGCACACATATCAACCGAGGCCACTGATCAGTCACATTTAATTCAAATGCAACATGAAATAAAGTCCATCTCTTGCTGGGCCAATCTCAAGCTAAGTTCAAAACAAAATTGCCCACTATGAATGCTGCATGAACATATTTCATATATGCTACCGTGGCACTTATTTTCAGCAAGTGATATGGCCCCAGGCAGGTATCTTGGATGTGATAGAAAATGTTATATTAAAAACGATAATATACAATACTCACACATTAGTAGAGAACTGATTCTCAGTTTCTGAAAATCTTTCCTTTTGCACATGTCCAATTCTCTTCACAGCGTCTTACACAGTGTTCCCACCTTTAGTTGCCATTGATGATCATGCTATCTAGAATTGAAATGAAAACATTTACAGTTAAGTGGGGCTTATGTCGGGCTTGCGAGCCGACTCGACTGGAAGCAACTGGCTGCAATTCACTGCGACTGCAGTGCTTAGGTCGGTCGACTGTGATACGACTGCCTGCGACTGGCTGCCACTAGTTGCTCGGAATAGAACAGTGAGCAACTGGACGCAACTAGTCGCTGCCGATCGCTTCCAGTTGCTCGAAATCCAGTTGCTTCCAGTCGAGTCAGCTCGCAAGCCCGATATAAGCACCCCTTTAAACATCGATTATCCGAATGAGACGGGTGGGGCGAATTTTGTTCGGGTAAGTGATTGTTCGGATAACGCGTGGTCTACTGGATTATTAAATATTCACGGGACCTTGAGATCGTTCGGATAATTCGAAATTCGGATAATTAATGTTTGGAGGTTTGACTGTATTGGGGGTTGTACCGTGAATTAGTTTTATCCCAGAGATCACACATCAAATACTTCACAAATCACCATAGCCAAAACAAAAACGCGAAAATATGAACAGCAGAATGTCATAAGATAAACTTGTAGGGATACATGTAAATATTCCACAGCATTGATTACCCGCAGGCATTATTGCATGATCCATTATCGAATAAATCGTGTAAAAATGAGTGCGTACTGGCTTCATAATCCAAATGAGACCTTGTCTGTAGGGAGAATATATTTGTATATAAACAATTTGTGTTGACAATTCTTACACCATTCACAGCATCAGTGAGCGATAGTAAACGGGCATACACCAGTCCAGAAGGTGGATGTGGAACATGGAATCCTATGTTGATTCTAATATTAAATTATTTTGTATCTAGCAAAATCTGAAATATAGATATTCCCCATAATTAACACGTGGATTCTCAATATAGAAGGAACTAGCCTTGTACCCGGCGTTGCTCGGGGGGAAAAACGCTTAGGAACAACTTTAAGAGCAAATTCAGCCACATACTTTCTAAAATATTTCCCCCCCCTCCTTTTCACCCGTACGATCCCCATCAGAAAGGAAAGAGAAGCGTACTGGATTCACAATCTAAACACTATCCAGCTACACAGACTCAATCTACGGGTAGAGATTCCGGGATGGATAGAAGACAGTAATCACCCTCTCACCAGCATAGTATACACGCAAGGCTAATTCTCAGCCGACACTCTATGGTGGCAGGTGGCTCGGTTTACCTTGTTATAACTTTTTTTGACTTAATTCTTAGGATATTCGTAACAGAAAAACAAACAATAAGCAATATTCTGACGAAAAGAGTTCGAACGATTCTATGATTCTCTGTAGTCAAAGCTTTTTGATATTCAACATTGTTATGAAATTGCGCCAAGTTATTATAAATATGCCTCTCTGGCGTTGCAAGCCTCGTCTCGCCTTTAAATACACAATTGGTGACATCTGTCACGTGTGTTTCTTATCATTGGGATTCGCTTTACATCAAAATAATACATGAAAACTAAACTAAATAAATACATAGGCCAATAAACTAAACCCGTCAACATAGCACGGTATCAGTTCAGGGTCACTTTCATAGTAAAATGATGAGCAGATTTTTAAAAAGTAAATATTTCTCCAAACGTATGAATATCACCTCATTTTAACCAAATTAGTTGGTCAATTTGGGAGAGTTCTGCACCAGTGAAGTCACCATAGATGACATTGTCAAATATATGAATTGCACCTGGTTTTAACAAACTTAATTCTTTATACCATGTTATATATTATATCCGAATGTATACACAGACAAATTACAATTTTAAAAATACAAATGAACGAAAATGAACCACTAAAAGTGTGTGTTGTGCTGCTTTTGAGACTCAACTGACAACTGAGTGCATAATGTATAAAAATGTATAAATTTGGCATAGTTTAACCTATGGTTTATCCTGGTATTAACAAAGTTTTGGCTTTTATCTGCTAGATATATTCGCGGGAATTCGGCTCTTCTACTTTTCTGACATCACCCCACTGCTAAAGTTATCGCCCGTATTAAGACCTATTTATCGTCATTATATCTACAGATATGGGTGGATTTAACAAATATGGATAACCCTATGTTGGTGTCCGACACGTGGGCTATACACTGAGATCGGTGACGTGGGCTTGATGCTGACCGCGGCGAAGATTACCGCGTCAAAACACCGGCCTCTCCTCTCTTATAATAATAGATACTGTGGATTGGCACAGTGTTAAAACTCTGTTGAAATACCAATAAATATACACAAGCCTACCCGGGACAGACTCCAGGATGGATTGTGAATCCTCTGAGGCTGAGTCACTTGACTCTGCATACAATTGTCTTGACTGGATTGCACAGAAAACTGGTATTTATAATTAATGAAAATCAATTTTATTTAAGCAAGATTGCAGATTTGAATAAAAAAATAGTTTTCTCTTTTTAAAACATTTTTTCCTTGATTACATAGCTTTGGTGTTATTTCAACACCTCTTAGAACATGAACATAAAGTACTGAGCAGAAAGCATGTAACTTCAGTAAGACATGAAAATAGTAATCATGTCATAGCATACTATAGTTACCAGCATTATCAGTAGCTTTGTAGCTTGCTCTGATAGATGGTGGCGTTGGACACATAGGCCTAGGCGCCTCATGGAACCGAGGAGGTTAGATTTAGGAGGTAGAGGAGGTTAGGTCCAGAGAAGGCTACAGGGTTGCCTATTTCCACGGCTGTGTACGAGTCGCTGGGCATATAACGTCTGTTGGACATGCAAAAGTTACTGATGTATTCCTGCAGATAGCCAGATACCCTCTTGGTTTCGATTGTTCTTTCAAAACTATATCTGAACCAGTTTTTTTATTAATAAGTACAAATACATTTTGCTAAAATATTACAACCCCATATATATGAGGTTTTGTCATTTCATTTGAAAATATGAGATATTTAAATACACATCATTTGAATACCAATTTTTTTGTCATACATGGGCAGAAATATAATATTATATTAAAATGTCTGAACTGACAATTTAAACTATCCCAAATACTTCCAATGCATGGTATCGGGATGGTATCATCAGAACATACAATATAGGGTGACTGGAGAACTTATTATGTACGTATAACACAATTACAACTGTACATAACCAAAATATTGTTTCCATATCTACACAGGATACTAGCAATACACCGGATGTGCGCGCAGGCGCGCTGCTCTCTCTCCCTCTCTCTCTCTCTCTTTCTCTCTTTCTCTCTCCGCGCGCACGCGCGTGTGGTGTGCGTGCGTGCGTGTGTGCGCGTGGGCGTGTGCGCGCGTTCGTTTGTGTGTGTGTGCGCGCGTGCGTGTGTGTGTGCGCGCGTGCGAGTGTGTGTGTGCACTGTGCACGTGTGTGTGTGCGCGCGCTTCTCTCTCTCCGCGTGCGTGTGTGTGTGCGCGCGCGCTTCTCTCTCTCCGCGTGCATGTGTGTCTGCGCGCGCGCGTGTGTGTGTGTGTGTGTGTGTTCGCGCGCTTCTCTCTCTTTCCGCGTGCGTATGTGTGCGTGCGTGCGTACGTTCGCGTGTGTGTACGTACGTATGTATACTATTTTAATAATATAAATATACGTAGATATATCGCCTATAACACATATAACAATATAAAACAAAATCACAAAAACTACACGTTTAGTATATATATATATATATATATAT